TTTTTTTTTTCTTTCTTTTTCTCTCTTTTTCCATTTGTCTTACTTGCTTTATTCTAATCCATACTTTCGTTAAGATTTCTCGACGTCTGCCGTCTTCGTTCTCTTCCTACCCGGTGTGAACAGGGCAAGCAAACCACTCACTGCAACGTAAAAACGCAATTGTGTGAAAAAAAAGAGAGATAACAACAGATGTTAAATATTTTTTTCAATAAAAATTCCTTTCGACGAAATTCAATTCTCGTAATCAAATACACGAGTATTATACTGAAACACGTTGATAAAACATTTTTATAGAGATACTTGAAAAAAAAAAATACGCGAAGGAAATGGAAAAGATATCTGTGTAATGATACGAGCGTGAAAAATTACAGAAAATAAGACGAATATTAATAAGTTAATAGTCTGCCGCGTAATAACAGATGTAACAAATGTTGTCACGAAACATTATCGGTGTTTCAACACGACAAATCAAACAAATCAAATAGCGATACGAAACATCTGTATCGAGATAACTCTAGATCAAAGCCAGTTTGACTGGCGGCCCGCGAGCCTTTGCCCCTACTTTGCTGGCGCTACCCCCTCCACTACACTGAATCGATGCAGTGGAGGGGGTAGCGCTAGCGAGCCTTTGCTCCCACTTTGTTCGCGCTACCCCCTCCGCTACACTGAATCGATGCAGTGGAGGGGGTAGCGCTAGCGATCAGGAAAGTGGGGGAAAAGGGCTCGCGGGCCGCCAGTTAGCCCCCCCGGCTAACTGCTCTGCTCTAGATCCAATTCAGAGTAGTGCCAAGAGCACTCAAGATTTGAATACGTACGGAATAACTGAGCGGCCACAATGACGATCACCAATGTGCAATAATCGTCGATCAGGTATCCGATCATCAGAGTACCGCTAATGGCGCCTATTCTACTGATGAAGGCGGACAAGCCAGACGCCATCGCTCTGAAACAGAATCGTATTTCAGGGTTCGCTGGAATTTGACGATTATGAGTGTGCTTCACTTGTGAAACAAATACGTAATCAAAAAAAGAAACGAGTTTCTTGAAGCGTAGGAGCGTAATTATTATGTGTTATTACGTTGGAGCGTAATTTCAAACTGTTTTGATCAAAGATTCCCGTTAACAAGCGTAACAACATCAAGAGATAAGTATTTTATCGCAAGTATCGAAAGCAGGAACACTCGAGACGCCGATTCGAGATATACGTGGATCGATCGTTTTGGATTATAAATAAACCGGTTAACCGAGAGAAAAATAAGCATTACATTCTGCCGAGATATTTATATCGACCGATAAATACGCGAGATAAGCTTTTGTCCGATCGCTCTTTGAAAAGATGCGATCGAAAGTGGGAACGTACGCACGTTCGAGAGTTCGTTTCATCATCACGGCCAATTACATTTACGTGCATTCAATTGAAAAGCGATACAATTCCTCGAGCTGGTATTTCAAATGTTGCTAAACCTCTCAGACAGTTCTTATGCGAGAGTTTTAAATATCGTCGCGACTTCAGTTGCGTTCGGTAAAAGAAAAAAAAAAAAAAAAGTAAAGAGAACAAAAGTTCTCCCGAAAAATAACAGAGGAAAACTCTTGGAAACATTTTCAGCGAATCCAATGGATAACACAAGTTTCGCAACATTGACAATTACTCGTCGTATTTACAGCTCGAGGTTAAATTAATTACACTTTAACATAATTTAATCTTCCATCTAACCCGAGGTTAAATTCAATTGTCATTCTTCCACGATTAAGAGTTTTCCTCACGTCGAAAATTACAACGTAATTCTCATCTCGACACGAACGATACGCCTGACAAAATAACTATATATGGAAGGTATAGTTTCATCTTTCGTCGATTAGTAGAAACGAGAAAAAAGAAGAAAAGAAATTACCTCAAATGCGTCGGATAGAGATCGACCAAAAGGCAATAAACGACGCTCAGGCAAACGGAAGTGACAGATTCGTAGGCACACGAGAGTATCAAGTTTTGCGTAGACGTTTGTACCAGGAAGAGGCAAGCCGTCACGACAGCAGGAATGAAAGCTGTTATCACTGACAATGAAACGACAGACTGAATTATTCGATATTTAAAAGAAAAGGAGGGAGGGGGGGGGAAAGAAAAAGAAAAAACAAACGATTCTCGTCGATATTTCGACAGAACTTTTTTTTAACACTGGAACTACCAAAGTAGTGAAAATGACCAATTTATAATTTTTATAATGTCCTTTCTAGAGATTCGAGAATGATTTTTAAATATACATTCGAATAAAAATTCATGTTCATTATCATCAAATATTACAAATCGTCTCCTATTGAATTCTAATTTCTTTCTACATTTTTATACTTTCAGTATCCTCGGTAGTTCCAGTTCTTCTGGTTCTTCTGCTTCTAGTTAATCGGTCATACTCACCGAGGAAAAATTTATATCCAACGTAGTTGACGAGTAATGGCAATATCAATCCCGTCGGGATGCACGAAGCGCCCAAAATAAATGTGTGCACGAACACGCTAGTTTGTACTCTGGAATTGCAGCCGAACGGGTCCTCCAACGTATCCTGCGCAAATTATTTTTTTTTCTCGTTAAATTTTTCTCTGCCATTAGTGTTGTATCAAAATGTCGCGGTTCTTAACTTGAGGATCCCACGCTCTATAGAGGAGGGGGGGAGGGGGGGATAATTAATTCGAGAATGAGTTATCAATTCAGTTGCAATTTTCTTGCATTTCTTTCAATGAAGATTTAACCTTCTAATTTGTTTCTCTCATGGAAATAGTCATGTTCTATGGAAGCTTGTTTCAAGTCTTCTCTCAAAAATTCAGTTTTTCAATGATAAGAATTCAACGTGTCACAGCAGTGTGTGGGATATCAAGATTTTAGAGATGTGTGTTAGGTTTAGGTTAGCTTTGGTCGGTAAGTGGGGATTGCTCAGTCGGTACAACATCAGACTCTTAATCTGAGGGTACAGGGTTCGAGGATCCCCGTTCGGGCGAAAAAAAAAAGAAAAAGACATTGTCCTTTGGGACAACAGCATGGGAGAGCTCCGTGTGTATAAAAAGATCCCAGAATTCTCCCAACGTGCGGACGACGGCCATCGTGGATTTACCGACCGTTTAATCGGTAAGAATCCGACACTACCTGAGTTTTCCCTTTCTCTTTAAATACTCAGGTGTCTTATAAAGATTTCCTCTAGGTAAAAAAAAAGAAAAAAGGTTAAATTCTAAAAAAAGAATCAAGGCTCTTAAGAATGTATCATTAGGAGGTATTGTAATCTTCAAACTAGGGTCGCAATAAAGAGCTTGTGGATTATAACGCAATTTCTAAAGATGAGCAAATGAAAAATAAAAAACTCAAGTACGTTCACTTTACGGAAAATCCAGTTAATCGTACGACGAACGAAAATTTATCGAATTCTTTAGGCGTGTACATTTTCGCTCAGTTTCTAAACAGTTCCGAACAGTTAGAGATTGCGAGATTGTACATTTGCTTGGCGCAGTTGAACGACACTTTCAAAGACGGGGCAGACTTTCTAAACTGGGAGAACCTCGTAAAAAAAAATTTGCATTCGTTGACAAGATGTGATGGAGTTACGCTCACCATTTGCGTGACGTTTCTGGCACTCTTCAACGTGCAAACGCTAGCCGTTTGATTGGGATACGCCTCTTGGAATTCCGCGTATCTGTTGAAAAGTTCCGGCAGCCATAACGTCAGTGTGTAATAAGAGGACGTGACGAAACAAGCGATCAGACAGACAACGATCGTTCTACAAAGAAACGGTGGCTTCAGTATCATCACGGTTTTCGTGTATATGTCTGTTATCATCAGCTGGAAGGACTTGTCGCTCGCGTCCTCCTTCTCTTTGGTATGCATTATCCGGTGCACCAGGTCGTTTAAATTGTTGTTCTCGCAGTTGCGCAGCTTCGTCTGAAAACGTGAATCAAATTCGTTGCTTCCTTTCTCTTTTCTGCATCTATTCCGTTTGGAATATTGTTGCAATCATTTCTTACTTTATTGTGGCAACTCGATCGTTCGATGTTCTGTATGTAGTAAGTTGCTTGGGAATTTTGGGAACGTTCGATGAAAGAAAAAATTGTTGATATCAACACGGGGAAGAAAAAGCGGATAGATACTCACTATATACTCTTTCGGTGGTTCGCCACTGTTCTCCGAGTACATTCTCATCAAAACGTCCAACATCTGAACGTTGTTGCCGGTTTCCGCGAGGTATTTCGGCGTCTCGGGGAAGAACAACAGCCACGCTCCAGTCAACAAGGCTGGCAGCGAGCATATGAAGACGAAGAGGTTCCACGAGTGGAAGAAAAAATCGTCCTTCTCGATGCTCACGTCCAGTGGAATGACGATCCAACCGACACCTGAAATTTCCGCAGGCCGAATCTGACAAATGTTCGTATTCATCCTCCGAGTGAAACGAATTTCTCAACCCGTCAAACTGGAGCCAATAATTTCGCTCGTTGTTGACATCTTGTTTTTATAATTCAATTCAATTTTAACTCAACACGACGCGAATGAGGATTACCTGCTAGAATGATCATCCCTAGCACCCAAGCCATTTCCATCCACGAGAGCATCTTATCCCGATATTTCGTCGGTTGAAACTCGCCCAAATATAGAAAAACAACGGCCGACTGTCCATTCATACTGCAATTAAAACGATTATAATTAAAGGGAATTCTCAAATCGGAAACGTAACAACGACACGAACGACATTGAATCTCAGTGATTTCAAAAAGTTGCAAAAGAGTTTCGGAGCTTTTATACAAAGAGAGAAAATCGGTTCACCAGAAATTCTTC